TTCTGTGTAGAGATAAGATCTCTTTTTATTTTCAGCCAAATGTAGTTTTTTTTCAGATTTTGAGAATTTGTAGTGAATTGTGTAAATTTGATTTGTACCATATAATGAGTCCTCCTGAGTCTCTGCCTTGACTCACAGTAGATCATTTCTGGGAAGGGGCAATAATCTCTTTGTAGTATGGAGGGCAGTGTGTGGGTATATCAGCTCTACACCATGTTTCTGATACGATTATGATATTATTATGAAATAAAACAAAACAAACACAGAAACACGTTTTACACAGGTGACCTTGAAGAACCTACTACAATGAAATATATTGATATTAATTATATTAATTATCTAATGCATTAATATTTTCTTATCAAATTAGTATTTGTTTAAATTGAAAGATGGTCTAAATGATAAAATAGTAAGAATTTTTTTTAATAATAAATAAATATGTGGGAAAAAAATGAAAAATTGAGATTGAACCACACTATGTTAATATAAGAACATGAAATTGTATTTGGGAGTCCTACCAATATGATGGATGACTGATGTTATATCTGGCTTACTAGTAGTCCACTGCACAGACTGTGTAGCATCTAATTGATCTACTCCAGCTCTGAGACTTGTGGGGGTGCAGGCTGAGGAGCTGGTCTGGCCAAAACAGTAGCATAGGTCATCTATTGCTGAGGGATGGGGGCTCTGTTGATAGGAGGGGCTCTCTGGGGTACATGAAGCTGTGGGTGGGGACTGTGAGGTGGAGTTCCCTGGGTGTGGGGAGCAGGAGGTTGTAGGTGAGGATGGTGAGGTGGAGCAGGGTGACGAGGGCTGGGCTGTGATGGTGTGATTCTTGGGCGTATGGAGGTCCTATAGTGGCCTGCTGTGGTGGTGGAGTCGGGGCTTCTTCTGAGGGCAGCATCCTTGAGAATTTTAGCAAATACTCTTACTTTGTTGACGTGCAGCCTGTCATATAAATGCCAGGTGCTGATGGTGGTATGCATGCCAGGTGGACGTTGGGGAGGCTGGGGCAGTTCCAGGTGACCTCCATGTTAATGTCATGTATGACATGAGGTGGGGTGTCTGTATGGGGCAGGAGGGTGGAGATCACCACCCTTGATTCTGGAAACACTGCAGGCTCTCTCTGCTACCTTAGTGACTGCTGGGCTGTGTCTTGGCGCAGGGTGTGCAGGTCATTTGTGCCTGTGTGGCTCCAACGCATGTCCAGTGTTCCTGCAGCGCTTGGAAACAATACATTGGCCAGGGAAGAGGCACCTGGGTTCCACATACTTCCCATTGGAGTCCATCAGTAGCACCACCTCTGGCTTGGCTGCTACAGTGGGTGAAGGTGTAGAGGGGTCAGCCTGGCCAGTAGGGAGGCGGTCTGTGTCTGAGAAAGTGGCTGCGGGAAAGGGTGTTTGGCCATCTCTTGCCAAGGCTACGGGGTCAGGGGTGGGGGTGGCATTGGAAGGCTGTGTCTGTGGGCTAGGGGTGGGGTTAGGGAGTCTGTGAGCCAGCAGTATGGATATGGGCTGAGGAATAGCAGAGAGGAGTGCAGGGGCTCTTGTCCTGTACCTGGCTCTTCATGTGTTCCAGCTGTTTCCTGAGGCTCCTCTCTCTGCTCTCTGTGTCCTCCTTCATCTTGGCCATCTGGGCCCGCAGACTGGTGTTTTCGTCTTGGAGGGTGTAGGTGGTCTGTCTGAGATCATCAATGCTCTTTTGATGGTCTTCTTTTGTCTGTTGGAGCTGTTCTCTCAGTTCTATGAGCCTGGTCAGTATAAGCTGTGTGAACTTAGTGAAGTCCAGCTCCAGTGAAGACACGCTTTCTCTTAGTTTTTCAGTCAAGGTTGAGGGGTGAGTGCAGTTAGGGTCTTTCTGCTCTGGTTCTCACTCCTCCTCTTGTTCCGACTCCTCTATCTGTTGGGTCGATGGTGTCTTCAGCGTCCATTGCTGAGCTGGATCTGTTGGTGTCTACTCCTGTTTTCAGCTGGTGAAACATCTTCTCAAATAGGTTGAGACTGGTCTGGTTTCCCTGGAGCAGCACCGTTCCTTTAGTTTTATAATAAGTTAGAGCCAATATAGGGTTCTCAGTGTCCAGACTCTCATCCTGACAGATGTCACTCTGCCACCATGGCAGAGTCCTTCTTTGAAGGTGTGCTGGTAGTTATTACAGACAGCATTTCTCCACAGCTCTGGATGTTTCGTGTGGAAGATCAGGTTGTTTTTCATTTTCTTGCCATTGAGCAGGATGTAATCTGCATACAGGCACTCAGGGTTTTCTTGTAGGGTCTTTTCTTTGTATTTGTTCTTGGCCTGTACACTTTTAAACTTAGCAGGATATTCTATTTCTCTGCATTCTGTTGTGTGTGGTGGTCTCCATGGTGACCGATGCTACCAACTGTAAATTAAGCAATATGTTTTAAGATTTATTATTGAATATATTATATTATATTGAATATTATTTTAGAGCCTTTAGCATACCAGTCCTTTGTTTTTCAGACTTATTCCAGCTGTAGAGAGGTCCACTTAGGCAGATCCAAACTGTCAGTTGTTTAACTAGCTTTAGCCTGTAGTTTTCCTTCTTCTTTTTCTTTAGAGTTTAGAGATGTTTAGAGATGCCCTTATGTCAGTATCAGTATCTTTAGGCACCTATTTATCAAATTATTTCTGTGTTTTGTTTCAGTTCTTTCATCAAAAGTTGAAGTACTGTTAGGAGCTCATTTTGGTGCAGCTGATCTCTGAATATTCTCCCTCTCTTTTTTTTTGTATATGATCCATGACATGTAGTGTGTAAGATGGAATTGGTTCTCCCTTTGCAGTTGTAACAGCTTCCTCTCTTCTGGGAAGGCTTTCTACAAGATTTTGGAGTGTCTGTGGGAATTTTTGCCCATTCATCCAGAAGAGCATTTGTGAGGTCAGATACTGATGTAGGACTAGAGGGCCTGGCTCACAATCTCCGTTCTAGTTCATCCCAAAGGGGTTCGATGGAGTTAAGATCAGGGCTCTGTGTGGGCCAGTCAAGTTCTTCCACACCAGACTCACCCAACCATGCCTTTATGGACCTTCCTTTGTGCACTGTGGCATAGTCATGCTGGAACAGAAAAGGGACCCCCCAAACTGTTCCCACAAAATTGGAAACATAGAATTGTCCAAAATGTCTTGGTAAACTGAAGCATTAAGATTTCCCTTAACTGGAAGTAGGGGCCTAGGCCAACCCCTGAAAAACAATCTCATAGCATTATCCCTCCTCCACTAAACTTTACAGTTGGCACAATGCAGTCAGGCAGGTAACGTTCTCCTGGCATTTGCCAAACCCAGACTCATCCATCAGACTGCCAGATAGAGAAGCGTGATTCATCAATTCAATATTTAAGAGGTGTGGCCCAATACTTTTGTCCATATAGTGTAGATAGATAGATAGATAGATAGATAGATAGATAGATAGATAGATAGATAGATAGATAGATAGATAGATACTTTATTTATCCCCTAGGGGAAATTCATGTGTCCATTATCTCATTGTTGATAATAATAATAATAATAATAATAATAATAATAATGAAAATAAAAAATAGTTAATAATAATAATAATAATACAATAATAATTAGATTAGTCCACTTCCTTTTGGCTGAGTTGTTGTATAGCCTGATGGCAGTGGGCACAAAGGATCTCCTGAACCTCTCTGTTCTGCAGCGCAGTGAAATGAGACGTTTGCTGCACCTGTAGCTGCTTCTCTGTCCTGCCAGAATGTTGTGGAGAGGATGGTTGGTATTGTCTAAGATGGCCTCCATCTTACATTGAATGCGTCGCTCCACAACAGTCCTGAGTGAGTCCAGACTCCTGCCAAGCACAGACCCAGCCTTTTTGACCAGCTTGTCCAGTCTCCTTGTGTTCGTGTCGGACATGCTGCTGCCCCAGCAGACTGCAGCATAAAAGAGTACATTGGCCACCACTGACTGATAAAACATGTGCAGCATTTCACTGCAGACGTTAAAGGACCTGAGCTTCCTGAGGAAAAAGAGCCGGCTCTGCCCCTTCAGGTAGATGGCATCTGTGTTCAGGGACCAGTCCAGTTTACTGTCCAGGTGCACACCTGGGTATTTATAAGTGTGCAACATCTCAATGTCTTTCCCTCGAATGTTGACTGGCTGAAGACCTCCGAAAGTCCATGACCATCTCCTTGGTCTTGGAGGTGTTCAGAAGGAGGCAGTTCTTGTCGCTCCATTCACTGAAGGCCATCGTCAGATCCCTGTACTCCTCTTCCTACCTATTCTTGATACGCGCCACAATAGCTGTGTCAGCTTGTTGGTTCATCACTTTTATCATCCGACCTAACACAGTTTTGACATTTTGAAACCGATCTTCAGTCTTTTCAATCCATGTTGCTGCCTCCTCTATTCTTTGGTTGACATTAGTAGTTAACTCAGATTTAATGTCATTTAGTTGTTTTGTGTCTTTGCGGTAGTCCCGTATCTCCTCCAACACTTTTGTCAGATTTGCTATTTCGTCTGGATGAGGATTAGCATTAGCTTCGCCATCTTGTGTCTGTGTCAGACACTGTTTTCAGCCTGTTCATTGTTTGCAGTCGCTTCAGTGGTGCTATATAATATTTCATATTTGATAGTTTAAATGGGGCGAAGTGAAAATCTTCTCAGAGGAGCTATTAGATTAAGCTGCCATTCAGGGTTATGACGTCACTGAAACCCCATGATTCCTCCTTTAATAATACGACTTACAAATAATAAAGGAAGAGAAACTCATCTGACTTTTATTTTATTCATGATTATTTCATAAACTTTTTTAGACATTTTTAGTTGTTATTGTTCTCTGTGTCTCTGGATCAGAACTCATTAGTTTCTTTGTTCTAGGATTTTTTGATTTCAAAACATGAATAAAGACATTATGGTATTATGAGATAAATACAGTAGTGTGTGCGTGACGTGCAGCTGTCAGGGTTCCGGTCTGAGTCTCTGACCTGGACAGACTCAGTTTTCCTCATCAGTCTCATCTGTTTCAGATCCAGTCCAGAGCTCAGAGTGGAGCAGAGACCTCAGTAAACTGGATGAGACTGGTTGATCCTGCATCATCACTGTGTGCTGTCGTCACCTCAGTCTGATGAAGAGCAGTGGACCATCGGGTCATGTGTCTCTCAGACAGCGTTACAGGGCTGGACTCCAGGAACAGAGGGACAATCCAAAGCCTTCTTCAGGGACCGTCAATGTTTGTACAGCACAGACCACTTCAGTCTACAATGTTTAGATACACAACTTTTTTTTTTTTTTTTTTTTTTTTTTGAAACGTGTTGTTTTTTTTTGTTTTTTTTACAGATTGTACAGATTTATAGTGACATTTGTTCTTTCCTACAAAATAAAGAGATGACTTTAATTACTCAATCTGTCTGGACTGTTGATGTCTCTAAACCAGTGACCAGACATCTCCTCTACAGTAATATATCCATAAACAGACTGAACATGTTTGTGTACCATGGCTGAAGAACAGCAGTTGAGGCCACAGACACTCATGTTCACTGAATCAGCTGGTTTGTCATAATTGGATTAATTGCAAGTCTTTTTAGCAAAATAAAAATGTTGATATTTTAATGTCCAGCTTGTCATCACAGCAGAAGCTTTAATCAGCAGTGAGAGCTTCACAGACCTGGGTCTGGTCTCAGCTTCCTACCAAGCTCTCAGTCCTCTGGTTGTTGGTCCCAGGATCAGAGGAGGATCTGCAGACATGGGTCACATCTAAGAAAATAAAACAACACTCCCTCCTCTGAAAATACATCATCGTCTGTCATCACTCAGCAGGTCTCTGTCAGTGACACTAAGTTAATAATCCTGTAAATGACACAGTATTTCATATTCTTTTGTGTTTAACACCATGGAAAACAGGATTACCAGTTTAACCATAATGTGATGATTAAAGTCTGATATACATGTTTTTGTAAATGGATCAAACTCAAACCCAATTTTGCAATCAATCTATAGTCAATGACAAATTCCTGTTGGAGTTCGCCTGTGTCAAACTGACCTGACTGGACAAAGTTTAACAAGACTCAGACCTGTGTTCTCAGTTCAAGATGCAGATAAAATATAAAATATGAATGCCAGATGATGAATTGTGTAGTATTGTTGTTGTATTATTGCAGAGTGACACGTGTGCAGAGGTGTCAGCTCCCACACTCAGGTCACTTCAGATCTGTGGCCTTTACACATAGGAAGTGAAGAGCAGCCGTAAATGAGAGGAGAGGGGTAGGTTCACAAACAGCATTGTTCACTCTGTTAGTTCAATGTTTATTCTGGAAAAATCTGGAAAACAAAATCAACAAAAATCAACATCTGCACAGTTCATGTGGTAAAGCACAGTCTCTCTCCAGGTGCTTCATCAGAGCACATGTTCAACTTAGATTCATCAACATAAAGGAAAACATCTGTTTTTCTCAAAGTGTCTGTTCAGTCGGATGACAGAGCTCCGCCTCCTGACATCTTCTTCTTCTTCTTGTTCTTTGCTTCCTGTGTCATGGTCCTCTTCAGCTGCTGCTCCTCCAGCCTCTGCTGCTTCTTCTGCAGGTACACGGCCACATTGTCGAAACTGGACTTGTACAGATGCTCAGAGGTGCTGCTGCTCCGTGTGGAGGCTGGTGTGTTGGAGAAGAGCAGAGTGGGGGGGTGGGGGGTGAATGTGGCATGAAAAAGGCTGACAACCACTAAACAGGTATGAGCTGAACTGTTCCAGGAAACAGGAAGTCTGTTGCCATGGATGAAAAGAATGATGCTGTGAGCTACAACATGAGCCTGTGTTTGTTTACATTCTGTATAGTAATTAAGCTGAATTAGATATTAGAGGTTCCTGTTTGCTTTGTTTAACTGAATGTACTTAACAACTCTGCACGCTCTTATAGAAATATGAGATAAAACCTAGATTAAATGTAGTCAACTGGTCAGCAGGTCTGCAGTCTGTCAGAGCTTGACCCTGTGGTGATGAGGTGAGGATTTGAAGATAAATGTCTTTTTGTGGAGGTCAGAGGCGTTTTGAACTGGTGTAAACATATGAACATCACTTTCAGTCCTTCTCTACACCAGGAACAACATACAACAACTGAAATACCAGGGGGAGTCTCTATAATTCATGAGAGGTGTCAGGTGTGAATCCGTTTGTTGGTTTATCAGTTTCAGGTACAGTGATTAAATCTGGTCTCTAGTGTGTTTTATTCTTGTTGATCATATGTGAACATTTGAGAGCCATAACTTCACAGTAAGAATCACAGCCTCTCACAGTTTACTTTCAATAGAAATGAGAAAAACATCATCTTCTGTTACTTTTCAGAGTAACAGAGGGGTCAGACTCACACACTGCACTGGTCCTGATAAAACAGATGATCATGCACCAACACCCTGCTGTTTATCCTGTGTCAGCACAGGATATTTGTGGGAGGTGCTGTGTGAGGTCATGTGACACAGCAGGTTATTTCTGTCTAGAAAGAGGCAGTGGGTCAAGGATGAGGGCGATAGGACGCACAGATAAGAGGCTGTGGAGGTGTATGTGTGTGTGTGTGTGTGTGTGTGTGACTCACCTTCAAGCGTCTCCCAGTGTGGCCTCAGGGCTTCAGTTACAGTTTTGAGTTCAGGGCTCACAGCTTCACACTGCAGGGAGCAAAGAGCAGAGAGCACACAGGTCAGAATCATAATGAGACAACCTGAGAGAGTTGACCAGTCAGTGCAGGGGGTTCAATCATGGACCAAAGTCTCTTTAAAAAAAAGTCATATTTTAAAAAAAAAAGTCCAGAGGCTGTGAACTACCCTAAAACAGGAGGACCACTTCAACAGTCAGGTCTCTATGGGATAGAGACTGGACTGAAGTCACTGTGAGTAAAGGCCATTTGACAGTCTGCTGGAGGTTGAAGATTTCAGTTTTTTATTTTTAATAAATTAGAAAACGTTTCTAAGAGCATGTTTCATTTTGTCATTAAGTTCACTGAGTGTAGACTGATGGGAAATTACACTTCTTACACATCTACAACACAGTGAAGTGAAGGAGTCTGAAGCTGCTGCATGTGTTACAACTAAACAATGATGACAAATCATGTTCAAACTGCTATGAGTGTTAATTTAGTGATTAACCACTAAAGTTATAATGTGTAACTTTTCCTCATTAAAATGTCTAGAAACATCTAGACCTATATTCTATATGTTGTTGAGTTATGTTCTTACATTCTCCCAAATGTTTCCATCAATTCTCAAACCAGAGAAATCTGTGATTTTAATCATGGTGACTGTTTATTGGTTGTCTGTCAATGTCATCATATCCTCTATGATCATGTGGTGTGTTGTGTTTGTCTGACAGAAGCTCAACATTGACTTTTATCTAGTTTTAAATCACATACACTTTTTACACCTTGGTGGTTTTCAACTCTGGATCTGAAGTTATCAGAGAAACAACCTGAGTAAATGTTAGACAGCTCAGCTCCAACTCTTCCCTGACATCTCTGTCCTCCGTACAGTGTTGGTCAAATACTGACTTTAAATGTGAACCTGCTTTAGTCAGTCTTTTTAACAGTTTTAACACTGGGTCTGTTTGATTTCCTGAACCACTGACACAGGAATCCAAACCGGGAAGAGCTTATGGTAATGGTGGTGAAGACAACAACATGTTTTAGTGATGTCACAGACAACAAATCTGGGATTCAACAAGTCACTCCTGTGGTCTCACAGCAACTCTCTCTCCCCTCACATCATTATCTGTATTACTATTGACTCTGTGTTCCAGTCTTAAGATGTAGATGAGTCTGACCACACTGTGCTAACTACTGACTGTGTGTCCAACACAAACCCACAGTTTCAAACCTGGCTGCAGTTACTCAGCCAACATATAGATTTTTAATCATCAGAATATGTTTTCATGTGTATCTGCTCATGTCTAACACCAACATTAAACTAAAAGCCAAAACCTAAATGTGTGTGAATGTGTCACACTGTACCTGCCAGGAGCCATGTGTGTGTGTGTAGACTTGGAGTGGAGCATCATCTGAGTCCATCAGCACCCAGAGCCGTCCCTCTGGGTCAAAGGTCATGTCCAGGGGACAGTGGGACAGGGACAGCCTGCTGTGTGGAACCAGCCTGTCTTCACTCCCTCGCTGCAGATAGAAGAACTGAACCGAGGACACTCTGAGGACATGGACACATGATCAGCTGATCACTTTCAGGAGGATCATCAGTTGTTTACAGGTACAGTTTCTCTCCCTCTGACCCACTTCAGGACTCAGTTACAGCTACAGGACACACTCCACAGCCTAGTGACCTCCAGTGACCTCATGACTCTATACATCAAAATACACTTTTAACCATCAGAGGCAAAAATATTTATATTAATTCCTGTACTTGCAAAGTCACATGACTCACACGCAGCGAGCTGCACTCACCTCTCACACTGCACAGCGATGTGGCATCCATCAGGGGAACAGGTGATGCGGCTCACAGTTGGCGTCTGGTAAATAAACAACAAAAACAAGTGGTGGAGTCATCACAATTTCATTTTATAAAACAGGTGAACTTTTACTGCAGATAATTAAAAACTACTAACTGTAAGTGACTGAAACCTTTATTCATACAGGAAGCTCACTGACAACACTTTAGTAGAGGTCTCTCTAAATATGCAATATGCAACACCTTAAAGCTGTTCTGACCAACAACTCTGTATGAACATGGATTAAATAATACTAATACTAATAATAATAACAATAATAATAGGCACCTTTCAAGGCACACAAGGACACCTTAAAATGCACAGTAAAAGATAAAAACTATTACAAGACATAAAATACAGAATAAATTAGAATAAATTTAATTGTATAAAATAAATATGATTAGGTGCTGGTGCTGGAGTTAAAGAGAGTAGGCAAGTTTGAAGAGGTGTGTTTTGAGGTGGGATCTGAAAACAGGAAGAGAATCAATATTACAGATGTCATGTGGAAGGGAGTTCCAGAGTCAAGGGGCAACATAGCTGAAGGCTCTGTACCCCACGGTAGTAAAACGGGCAGGAGGTACAGTGAGATTAGTGGAGGAGATATGTATGAGAGTACAGGCATGTGTGTAATTTTGGAGTAGATCAGAGAGATATGGAGGTGCTAGGTTGTGAATTGACTTAAAAGTGAGGAGCAGAATCTTGAAATCAGTACAATGTCTTAGAGGAAGCCAGTGAAGTTGCTGGAGAACAGGAGTAATATGTTCTATTGAAGGGGTCTGGTAATGATACGAGCTGCTGCATTCTGAACCAGTTGGAGTTTATGGAGGAGTTTATGAGGAAGACCAGAGAGGATAGAGTTACAGTAATCAATGCGAGATGTTACTAAAAAATGTACTAGAATAGCAGTGCTGTGGGTGACTGACATAAGCGATTGATATTACGTAGATGGTTATTGATGTGTGCTTCAAAGTGCAAGGTGCTGTCAAGGATGACAGGCAAACTCTTAACCTTGAGGAAGGAAGAACTGTGACATTGTCAATATTTAAAGAGAAACTGTAGAGCTGGGTGTCACCAGCATAACAGTGAAACTGAATTTCCTGAAAATGTGTGGGCCTAAGACAGAGCCACTGGTGGTAAAAGGGCAGAACTGTGATCTGAGATTCTTTAACTGAACAAACTGAGTGAGACGAGATAGATAGGATTTAAACCAGGTATGAGCGGTGCCAGTGATGCCAATAGATGATAACCTGTCTAGGAGAATATCATGGGAAATTGTATCAAAGGCTGAGCTCAAATCAAGGAGTACACGTATGGTTAACAGCCCAGCTGCCATTAGCAGGTCATTTGTGATTACAGGTGCATCTCAATAAATTAGAATATCATGGAAAAAAGTAAATTTATTTCAGTAATTCAATTCAAAAAGTCAAACTCGTATATTATATAGATTCATTACACACAGAGTGAAATATTTCAAGCCTTTCTTTTAATTTTGATGATTATGGCTTACAGCTAATGAAAACCTAAAATTCAGTATCTCAGAAAATTAGAATATTGTGAAAAAGTTCAATATTGTAGACTCACTGTGCCACAGTCTAATCAGCTAATTAACTCAAAACACCTGTAAAGGTTTCCTGAGCCTTTAAATGGTCTCTCAGTCTGGTTCAGTAGGCTTCACAAACATGGGGAACACTGCTGACTTGACAGTTGTCCAGGAAACAGTCACTGACACCCTCCACAAGGAGGGTAAGCCACAAAAGGTCATTGCTAAAAAAGCTGGCTGTTCACAGAGTGCTGTATCCAAGCATATTCAAGTTGAGTGGAAGGAAAAAGTGTGGTAGAAAAAGATGCACAAGCAACAGGGATAACCGCAGCCTTAGGATTGTGAAGCAAAGGCCATTCAAGAATTTGGGGGAGATTCACAAGGAGTGGACAGAGGCTGAAGTCAGTGCATCAAGAGCCACCACGCACAGACATATCCAGGACATGGGCTACAATCGTCGCATTCCTCATGTCAAGCCACTCCTGAACCAGAGACAACATCAGAAGCATCTTACCTGGGCTAAGGAGAAAAAGGACTGGACTGTTGCTCAGTGGTCCAAAGTCCTCTTTTCAGATGAAAGTAAATGCATTTCATTTGGAAATCAAGGTCCCAGAGTCTGGAGGAAGAATGAAGAGGCACAGAATCCAAGTTGCTTGAAGTCCAGTGTGAAGTTTCCACAGTCAGTGATGATTTGGGGAGCCATGTCATCTGCCTGTGTTGGTCCACTGTGTTTTATCAACCAAAGTCAACGCAGCTGTCTACCAGGAAATTTTTAGAGCACTTCATGTTTCCTTCTGCTGACCAGCTTTATGGAGATGCTGATTTCATTTTCCAGCAGGACTTGGCACCTGCCCACACTGCCAAAAGTACCAATACCTGGTTTAATGACCATGGTATCACTGTGCTTGATTGGACAGCAAACTCACCTCACCTGAACCCCATAGAGAATCTATGGGGTATTGTCAAGAGAAAGATGAGAGACACCAGACCCAACAATGCAGGCGAGCTGAAAGCCACTATCAAAGAAACCTGGGCTTCCATAACACCTCAGCAGTGCCACAGGCTTATCGCCTCCATGCCACGCCGCATTGATGCAGTAATTCATGCAAAAGGATCCCTGACCAAGTATTGAGTGCATATACATAAACATACTTTTCAGTAGGCCAACATTTCTGTATTAAAAATCCTTTTTTATTGGTCTTATGTAATATTCTAATTTTCTGAGATACTGAATTTTGGGTTTTCATTAGCTGTAAGCCATAATCATCAAAATTAAAAGAAAGGCTTGAAATATTTCACTCTGTGTGTAATGAATCTATATAACATATGAGTTTCACTTTTTGAATTGAATTACTGAAATAAATTAACTTTTCCATGATATTCTTTTTCTAATTTTTTTTTTTTCTTCAGGCTTTTTGTGCCTTTATTGATAGTGCAGTAGAGAGAGACAGGAAATGGGGAGGCAGAGAGAGGGGGAATGACACGCAGCTAAGGGCTGTCCGATGCGGAACTCGAACCGGGGCTAACTGCAGCGAGGACTGTAGCCTCTACACATGGGGCAGATGCTCATCCAACTGAGCTACTCGACGCCCCTCCATGATATTCTAATGTATTGAGATGCACCTGTATGACCATGGCTGTCTCTGTGCTGTGAAATGGGCAAAATCCAGACTGAAATTGTTTGTACAGATGGTTATTGGTAAGGACAGAGTGAACCTGAGAAATTACAGTTTTCTCTACTATTTGATGAGAGGAAGGGCAGGTTAGAGATCAGACAGTAGCTGTTCAAATTGTTGGGGTCTGCACCAGGTTTCTTCAGGGTTGGAGTTATTGCAGCTGATTTGAGAGATGATGGCACAAGACCAGAAGTAAGGGAGGAGTAGAGAATGTCAGTTATCACAGAGGAGAGGGAGGGAAGACAGGCTTTCACCAGGTGAGTTGGAAGAGGGTCTAACTGGCAGGTAGAAGGTTTAGAGTTTTAAATAAAACCAGAGATTTTGTTAACAGTTGTGAGTTTGAAATTAGCCAGAGGAGAAAGAGGACAAGGTGAGCTGTGAACTGTATTTCCAGGTGAAGTCAATTGCTGGTGGATGTTATTGATTTTGGTATTGAAGAAGTCCATGTTACACTGAGCGATGCACTACATATGAGGTGGGATAGTATCAGGTGGCCGAAGGATGTTCTTTACAGTGGAAAAAAGTGCTCTTGTAATCCCTTTACCAGAAGTAATTAAGTCTGCATAATAAGCCTTTATTCATAAAAACTGCTGTTCATAAGATCATGGACTTAAGTCCATGGACATAAGTCCATGGACTTATGAACAGCAGTCTTTGGTTTTAAGATGGTGCAGTTTGTAACGTGAGAAGGTGTAGGCGGAGAGGCTAGCAGGTTTAGCCGTTAGCTCAGTCAGTCGACAGACAACGAAGTAGGGATTTCCACACGGTATTTTAATTAATAATATTCTAGAATTCAACATAGACCATATTATGCCAGGTCTCCACGGCGCTACATTCACAGTTCATACATGAGCGGTAATATGTAGACAGCTTAACCGTCAACTTCATGTTACAGAGCATCTTAGTGCGTGTCTTTCGTTGTGGAAGTCCGGAGGTCAAGAACATGGCGGACAAGAAGGCCGCTGCGTATACACTGTGCCACAAAAAGGAGGTAACACCACCTTGTGGCGTTATTCGGTATTGCAGTAAGCACGTTTAGACTCTGACTGTTACAAGTTCAGCAGTATACCAGTTCAGCAGTATACCAGGGGGCAGAATGGCTGAAGGAGACATTCCGGGTTTTAAAAGGAGCAATAAGGAGGCACTGTAGTCCATCACTGTAGAGGGGAAGTCAGGGGAAGATAAATTGCCTTTCTTGGGGAGATTATCAACACCAGCAGAGAAAGCAGGTATATTTATATTCTTAACGTTACAAAATGAGATTGTACAACATGGGTCCGGTTCAGATATTGTTATGTTAACATTAAAAGACACTAGCTTGTGGTCGTATATGGATAAGTCAGATGCCATACAATCAAAAGGTGTAGCACCAGTACAACAGGTGAGATCAAGGATATGACCTTTACAGTGAGAAGTGATTGCTGTAAGCCAGTACTGTCAATCGGAGTTGAAAAGGTTCCGCGGATGTGTATTGGAGCATCGATGTCACTGGATGGAATATGAGAAAGAGAGTACTCCAGGCTAAAGTAATCCATAGAAGCAGTCTGTTAATCCGCATTATTGCCAGTATGTAAGAGGCAGAAACAACAAGATGAGAGAGGCAGGGAAGTCACCAACCAGGTATAACACAGGGAGCTTCACAGTCTGCAAAACCACCAGACTATTAGTTATCATTAAAACCAAACAAACAGAAAACTCTGGCAAGAATTTGCAGAGTTAACTACTGCTAATTTGACTAAAAGAACAGCAGTGAGACAAGTAGAAACCCAGAGAGCAGCGGCAGCCAGATTGCGCCATCATTCACTGACCGGAAGGACTGATTTGGAATATAATATCAATGGGTTAAATCCTAATCCACAGATCATCATTTCCTGACTCTGCAGCTACCTCAGCATGTTTCAGCTCATTGTTCTGGTTTAATGAATTTGTTTCTCAATAACAATCAGTCTTGAAAGTTAAGAACATTTTCATGTTTCTGTGAACATTTCTACACAAACTTCACACAGCAGAGCTCAAGACCACATGCATGCTATCAAGATCTTAACAGTGGCTGTCTGTGCTGCTGAAGATGATTCACACTTGTTATGGCCCCAGCCGCCAAACAGAGATAAACTCTGTTAGAGGTTTTTAGTGAGGTACCAATGTTGTGTGTGGGGGACTGGGCCACGTTTAGGTAAAACTCTCTCAGTTAGTCAGTTAGTTAGTGTCACTAGGCTGCTTTTTGCCTGTTTCCTTTGTATTTAGTGCAGATCAGATAGAGAGGTTTGATATTTCCTTTAGAAAGTCATCAGTCACTCAACCTGAAGATTAACTTGTTTCAAGATCAACGTCTCATTTACTGCTGTGGAGATGGAGGGGAAACTATTTACAAGGCAATGACAGTTGATGTTTCTATGAATAAACTGCTGAAGAATGTAGAGGAGGAGACATCCATTCATCTACTCTGGACTTCTACAGTCACTCTGAGGACATCTGATCTCCCTTTT